GCGTGGCGGGTCCCGATGCCGCGGGGCACGCTGGGACTTGCAGTCCGTGGCAGCCTGCGACCAGCCGCTCCGGCGGCGCGAGGACTCCAACCTCCAGGTGGCCTCGCGCGGCCAGAAACGCGCGGAGCCTGCAATTCTGGGGTCCCGGGCGCCCCAGGCGGGCCTGCGGCCGCCACCCCGACCCAGTCCCCCGGCGGACGCGCAGCCGCCGCCGGTCCCGGAACTCACCGACTTTGTAGGGCAGTTTGTCGGACATGCCGGCCGTGTTTCCGCACAGGCGGCGGGCCCAGACGCGGCGGGAGGCGGCACGAGCGGGCGGACAGGGCTAAGCGAGCGGCGCCGGCGCCTTTAAATATCTCCCTTGCATTTGCATATTCATGACCCGCTAAGGCTGAGTCGTTGGGGCGGGCCCGGCGCGCAGGCGGGGCCGGGCCGACTGGGATCCCGCTGAGAGAAGGCAGAATTCGGGGTGTTTTTAGAGTCTGGAAAGACGTTTATTTCATCTTACCTTTTAATTTTTTTATTTTAGAGTTGTGGGGCACAAGTGGGGATTTACTACATAAACCACAGGGTGGTTGCATGCCTGTGAAGTTTGGGCTTCTAGCTGGCCTTCTCGCCCCCTGGTAGTGGACCCCGCTCTCCATGTGTTGCCACGTGCCTCCCCCGTTCCACCCGTGTGCCAGGGATCGGGGCCCGCTTGGGAGTGAGAACATACGGTATTCAGTTCTTTGTCTCGTGATAGCTCTTTTAGCATGATGGCCTCCAGCTGCGTCTGCGTTGCTGAAAGACCACTATTTTGTCCTTCTTTGTTGACTTTATAATATTCCATAGTCTAGATGTACCGCATTTTCTTTATCCAGTTCACTTTCGATGGGCATCTGTGTTGGTTCCATGTTTTTGCTATTGTGAACAGTGCTGCAATAAAGTTGTGTGCAGGTGTCTTTCTGGTAAAGTGATTATGTTCCTCTGGGTATATTCCCAGAGGAAGTATTGCTGCGTCATATGGAAGCTCAGTGTTTAGTTCTTTGAGAAATTGCCACACTGCTTTCCACAGAGATTGAGCTAGCTTACATTCCCACCAACAGTGTAGAAGCGACCCCCCACCCCACCCCCGCCCCAGTCTTAGCCATGCCAGCACTTATTTTTTGACTCACTAATGATAACCATCCTTACAGGTGTTGAGTGGTATCTCATTGTAGCTGTGTGTGTGTGTGTGTGTGTGTGTGTGTATGTGTGTGTGTGTGTGTGATTTTTTGAGTCAGAGTCTCACTTTGCCGCCCAGGCTGGGGTGCAGTGGCACAATTGTGGCTACCACAGCCACAACCTGCTGAGCTCAGGCGATCCTTCGACCTCAGCCTTCCAAGTAGCTGGAACTACAGGCGTGCGTCACCACACCCAGCTAATTATTTATTTATTTATTGTAGAGATGAGGTCTTGCCAAGTTGCCAGGCTGGTCTGGAACCCCTGGACTGAGGCTCCTCTCACCTCAGCCTCCCAAAGTGCTGGGATTATAGGCATGAGCCACCATGCCCAGCTTGTATGTATTTCTTTATACGTATACTATATACTTATGTCATTAAACAATTTAGAAAATTATTTGTTTCATACCTTTATATAAATGTCAACTGTACTTACCCTTCTGCGACTTCCTATTTTCTGCCAGAGTTGTGTATATTTGTTAGAGTAATGAATAAAACTTGAGTGTATTCATTTTTGTTGCTGTATAGATCATTCTCCTTCGGTATGGAGAGGGAGGATTGGTTCCAAGGTATGTTGACAAAAAAGGCCACACTAAAATATTTTAAGATGTTATAGGGAACAAGAGTTTCTTACATTTCCCATATCTAATTCGAAGTTATTTATCTAAATGTACCAAGACAGCTTCTTTGATTGTTGTAACTTTTCCATCCCCCCTTAAAGAACTATCAAATTTAAAGTCTACTTGACTGTGAATTCCAAAAAGTTACTCTAAAATGTCAGTGCTTACGTACAAGGAAATGTCAACATGATTAGGAGATCTTGGGTCATCCCAAAACTGCCCATAGACCTTTTAAATTCAGACTCAGGGGTGGTTGAAGGATGATCGTGATTCATGTCCTTGTTAACTTAGCCTCAGGGATAGGTAAGGAGCTATGTAAGTTTAAATACTGAAGTAAGTTTGCCCACCTTTGAGCAGGATATTGGTAATAATGCCACCCATCTCTCTGTAACCTGGTCGCAGAAATAAACTCATTTTTCCCCCGTTTCTGCCTCTCGTCTTCAATTGACCACAAGGGAAGCAGCTGGACTAGTTTATCCAGGAAAAGTTTGGCAACTCTGGTGGGACTTCACTGCTTGCCACTGGCCAGTTTCAGCAGGCCTGTCCTGCAGAGACTGCCTGCGGCTGCCAGAGCCCTTCTCATTGCAGGGACTCTTCAAGATATGCCCATCACCCATGGTCAACATCCCTCTGTGATTGTGATTAACTATTGACTGAGAGAAAACACAGTTTGGGAGCAGATGCACTCATGTGTAAGTCAGACCAGATCATAAGCCAGGAGAACCTCTTCTCATTTGGGCCTTTAATAACCATTTGCAGGCACCAGAGAAGGTGATTATACCTCATTTGCCTTTTTGGAATAGCCTTTGGTTTAAGTCAGACCAGATCATAAGTCAAAAGTTTAACCCCTTCTCATTTGAGCTTTTAATATCTGTTTGCAGGCACAGGAGAAGGTGGCTGTAACTCATTTACACTTTGGGGATATTCTTTGGTTTCACTATCTGTACATGTCTGTTTTGTCTTTGTCTTTTGTTTTGTTTTGTTTTGTTTTGTTTTTTGAGTTGGAGTCTCACTCTGTCGCCCAGACTGGAGTGCAGTGGCCGCTCCCGGCCACCGCAGCCTCGACCTGCTGGGCTCTGGCGATCCTTCCGCCTCAGCCTTCCGAGTAGCCGGAATTACAGGCGCGCGCTACCACGTCCGGCTAATTTTTTGATTTATTGTAGAGAAGTCTCGCCAAGTTGCCCAGGTGGGTCTCGAACCTGCGAGCTCAGGCAATCCACTCACCTCAGCACAGGATTTAATGAAGGGAAATTTGTGAAGAGAATTTTTGTATGTGATTAAGTTGGTGGTAATTGAAAGGAAAATGTTTATAATGGTCTTTCTGAATATTGTTCCCCTATGTTGGAACCGGGTTTTCTTGGGGTATTAATTTGCTCTTGGAAAGATTACAAGAGGTTTTAATTTTTGGTTCTATAGCCTGTTTTTTTGTTTTGTTTTGTTTTGGGTAGGAGTCTCACTCTGTCACCAGGCTGGAGTGCAGTGGCACACTCATGGCCACCCCAGTCTCCCAAAGTGCTGGGATTACAGGCATGAGCCACTACGTCCTGCTAGCCTGTTTCTTTTTGGAGATTTTTCAGATTTGTTTCAGAAGTTCAACTTTTATTGCGTCTTGCTTTTAGCTTTTTTGTCTCTTGAGAAGGCCTGAGATAGTGTTGCTCTCCTTTAACTTTTTGTCAGATCCTGTAACCTTTTGTTCTCCCTCCGATTCTAACTGTATTTGTGACCTGAAATGTTTTATCTTGAAAGTCTAGAAAAATAATGGTTTATAATTATGCTAAAGAGTGGACTGTGGGTATCTACTATTATTTTTACACTAATCTGTGATTCTGTTTTAATAAAATGATCTAAGCCTTTTATATCTTTAGTAAATGTTCTATTAACTAACCTTTGTGCTTTGACTCCTGGGACTGGAAAAGACAGTGACTCTGGCTAAATCCTGCCAGACAGGGCCTCATCTTCAGGCCTAGGAGAAGGTGACAATCAAAATGAACTGCCCTTTATGAGACATAGGGCCAAAAACCAAATTATTTAATCTTTCTAGGCCCAGGGACTATCATGGAAGAGGGGTCATGTGAGAGTGTAAGGGCTAATTTTTGAGAGGTGAAATTAATTCACAGTTGTACACGTCTCTTGTCAATGCTATACCAGATACAGGAAAAGGAAAAAGACAAAATCAAGTGCCCAGATCATACTAGCTTGTAATATAGACCTGATCCCGGATGTTTTTTCAAACTGAACTTTAGGCCTGACTTCCTCTCCCCCTTTAACAATTGTCTATAAAATCAGGTCAAAACATGTCCTTTCCCCATATTCCAACATTCTTGATATGGAACACAAAATGGACTATTTTAGGAATATGACTCCTAGCTCCATGGCACCTTGCCAGGTAAATGGAATAGATAACCCTAGAAATGAGCCTTCCTAGGGACATGGGACCTTCTGTTTATTGGCCCACACTTGCATTCTAAGTAATAATGTTTGGTCAGTAGGGGGAAACTGAGGACTAAACTTGACCTTTTCTCTTACCCAAATTCCTAAGTAAAAGACTTGGGAAGTCACTGCCTGGTAAGGACTCGCTAGAAAAAGTTTCATTACCCTATTACCCTGTATACTAAAGTTTGATTTCCAACCTGACTCTGGCATAACATTAGATAACAGATAAAGTAGAACAAACTGAAGAAACCGAAGGAACTTTGGTGAATGACTCCTACACCATCAGGATGCTGAAGACCGCCGTCCAGATCAGAAGCTCAGGGACTATAATGCACTGTGCACTTTTTAGATGGGGTCTTTGCTGGGACTTTGGAATGGTTTTCTAATTTATTTTCATAGATTCCCTCTGGCATGAAAAGTATATTGTCTGGTATAGGTAAATCAATAGCAACTGTTTTAATATGTGGATTTTTGTTTTATGTACTGTTTAAATGTTGTGTATCTTGTATGATTAAAGCCTGGGAGTTTGTGGTCAAAGCTGTACATGATGCAGCAAACCCTTGATAGAAATCATGGATACAACTGACAGTGGGGAATGTTATAGGCCAAGGTTCTGAGAACAGGGATTTTTTTTTTTTTTTTTTTGAGTTGAGTCTCACTCTGTCGCCCAGACTGGAGTGCAATGGCCACTCCCGACCACCGCGGCCTCCACCTGTTGGGCTCTGGCGATACTTCCCCCTCAGCCTTCCAAGTAGCTGGAACTACAGGCGCGCGCTACCACGCCCAGTTAAATTTTTTTGATTTATTGTAGAGATGGGGTCTCACCAAGTTGCCCAGGCGGGTCTCAAACCCGCGGGCTCAGATGATCCACTTCAGCCTCCCAAGGCGCGGGATTACAGGCTGAGCCACCGAGCCCGGCTGAGAACGGGGATTTTTTTGCATGTCTCATGTTTGATTCAAAGTTGTTTATCTAAATGTTCCAAGGTAGCTTCTTTGTTGTAACTTTCTTTTTTTTTTTTTGACTTGGGGTCTCACTCTCACCC